AATCCAGGATCCAATTTAGGATCACACATTGTTTTTAGAAGCATGTCTTTCTTTGATTTCCTTTAATCTAGGATAGTTCAGTATGCTTTTTCTTAATCTTTCATGAAATCTACATTTTTAAAGAGAATGGGGCAGTTGTTTCACAGAATGTCCCTCAATTTGATTTATCTGATTGTTTCCTCATAAATATGCCACTTTTGGTAGGAATACTACCTTTGTGTCCATATAATGTAGTCTGTGACTGTGATCAATCAACTAAGGGTGATCTCTTTGTTATAAACCTACACTTTACTTTTTGTAATTTAGTAAATAATCTGTGAGGCAATACTTAAAAACAGTATGAATATTCTCAACAGTCATAAATGATGACTACTGTGGCTCCAAATAGTGATTTTCTTTCCATTATTTCTTGTACATTTACTATTGGTATATTTAGACCAATAAGCAATATCATGATAAACAGGGAAAAGAGTAAAGTTGTCAAGGATTTCATTTCACTTGGAGCCAAAACCAGTACCCATTGAAGCATAAGTCAGGAAATTAAATCATGTATCCCACTGGGCAAATGTGCTTCAAAAGACCTCTTTAAAGTGTTAAAAAGCAAAGATGTCACTTGGAGAACTAAGGAGAGCCTGACCCATGCCATGGTATTTTCAGAATTCCCCTCAGTTTGATTTTGCTGCAAAAGCTGGACAATGAATAAGGAAGCCTGATGAAGAATTAATGCCTTTGAATTACGGTGTTGGCAAAGAATATGGAGTATACCATCGACTGCCAAAGAAGGAACAAATCTGTCTTGTTAGAAGTACAGCCAGAATACTCCTTAGAAGGAAGGATGGCAGGATTTCCTGTCAGGTACTTTGGACATGTTCTCACGAGGGACCAATCCCTTGAGAAGGACATCGTGATTGGTGAAGTCAAGGATCAGCAAAAAAAAGGAAGACCCTCAAAGAGGTGGACTGACACCATGGGTGCAATGGGCTCAAACATAGCAACCCTTGTGAGGATGGCCCAGAACTGGACAGTGTTTCATTCTGTTGTGCATGGGGTCGCTATGGGTTGGGGCCGACTGGATGACACCTAACAACAAATCTTCAGTGAAGAAGAGTCGCCCTAATCCCATACCACCTTGAATTGTAATCTACCTTTGTAAGATCTTCAAATCACTTACCCTCTCGATACCTATGCTTTCTCATCCTTAAAATGAGATGTTTAAGGGTCATATTCTGAATTTCTAGTTAGTTTAAGATGAAATTCCCATACAGACTTGCAAAAGCATCCGCCCACGAATGAAAGTGTCAGGATCTAACACCATCAGCTCACGACACCCATTAGTCTTCTCTATCCCCCTTCCCCGCCGCGCCTTCTGTCGTAACTAGTACCCTCCAGGTGTTCTCGCGAGAGGAAGCCCCTTCCTGGGGCAAAGTGCAATTCCCCAGTCCTTGCTGATACTACGTCTACCCCCACCCCACTAGCCACTTGCACGCTGGGCCCTCCTGCGCACGCGCTCACACAGAGCCAGACAGTTGGGGGTGTTTGTTAGTCGCAGCTGCTCCTCTTCCCCCACCCCAACTGGCCGCGAGCGAACCCGGTCGCACTCTACAGCGCAAACGCGGGGCTGGAGGAGGTGGGGCGCGCAGGCGCCGCGGTAGGAGTGAGGTCGCGCAGGCGCGAGCGGCGTTGGTTTGAAGAAGACCTTCAGCGTTGCCCTGGTGGAGTGGGGACAGGCCCTTTAGTTGGAGGTGAGAGGAACCGGGTCTGCGGGTCGGCGCGACCGGCAGAGGGGCCAGGGGAACGGTGCGTCGCGACAGAGCAGGTGACCCGATGAGAGACTGACCTAACGGAGGGTTCGGGAGGGACAGAACAGTCTTAATCCGGCGCGAGAGCGGCGCGGGCCGGCTGGGCGGCGGCGGGCAAAGGGGGCGCTGGTCCCTGTCAGGGACATTGCTCCACTTGTCGCCTCAGGTGATGGATCCTGGCGGTCAGAGGTGGTGCTGCGAGCGCGGAGCCTCGACCTTCCTCCGCTTGGTGTCCGGACAGGACTTTCTTTCCAGGCTAGAAAGATTGATTTCTAGGGAAGTTGGACCCTTGAACCCCAAACCCATTACCATATTTCTAGCTTCTTCACTGGAATTGTTATCAAATATCAGGGGAGCTCTTCCATTTCTTGCGGCCAGAGGGAGGATGCTATACATTCAGTTTTAAAAAGAGAAACAAGAAACAAAAGGAGCTTTGCTGACTGAGTTAGTAATTGTGTAAAGCGGTATTACCTAGTTAATGCTCTGCCCCGTCTGCATCTAATGCAACATCCGTACCTTGTGCATATCTACAAGCAATATGTGCATTTGTGGAGCTAATAGAAATACGTGATTATATTTCACTCTCGAGTAACATAAAGTCTTCTCGTGTTTTGCTTGATCACCATCAAGTTTTTTGCTTGATGGACCAGCAGTGCATTTTCCATCAGAGTCGTGGGCCTGAAAAAGTAACCTTAAAATAAGCAGAATTGAGATCAGTTGGTAAACCAAACCAGCTATGCAGCTTTTGCAAAATATCTGGCAGTGGTTTTGAAAAAGAACAAAGTAAAATACTAAAAGATTGTAATTATTCCCTAGATGTATATGTGAGTGCTTCTGAACATTTAAGTGGTTTCTTCTTTTTTTTTTTTCCTTTTGGCAATAGAAGAAAAATCAACATGTAAAGTCTTAACATTTCTCATTGCCTATGTAGTGCCTGATTTTCTATTTTCGTCTTCCAAATTGTGAAGTAATTACATCAGATTGGAAATAGATAAAACTCTATAATTGATTCTTTGAGAATAAGGGGTTGAATTGAAAAATAATTACCCTTGAGGTGAACTCTGAAACCCTGTAGCTTCTGAGTCATTCTATGATTTTACGAGTCAGTATATTTATACTTAACATGTAAACTCTCCTTCCTTATAACTTTATTATTATAGAAGCTCTGGTGGTGTAGTGCCTAAGACATTTGCCTGCTAACCAGAAGGCTGGCAGTTCAGGCCCAACAGCCACTCCTCGGAAGGAAGGTTGGGCAGTCTTCTTCTATAGTGATACCTCCTCAGAAACCCAAGGAGGGGTCGGATCACTGAGTCGGATCTGGTTTGATGGCAGTGCTTTGTCATTTCACAGGTTTAGGTTAAAGGACAAATTTTAAGTAAATTCACAGTTGGGAAGTGCATTATAAGTGTATGTCATGTTCAGTATGATGGTAGAGACAGAAATTCAGCCGGAGGCCAGATTAAGAGCTAGGCTAAATATAAATAAATATTAGTTTTAATGTGTAGGTAGTTCAGGCATAGGGATTGTGATGCCTACCTGGTGTTCTGAGTTTTTTAATGGCATAGTGAACAGGCTAATGTGGCTGCTTGAGGTGGTTCTATAATTTGTTAGACATACCTTTGGAGTTTGCAAGATAGACACAACAGAAATTTGCAGAAAAAGATTTTCCAGTACACTAAGAGAGTAAGGGAATGGTATGTTCTGAAATGTTGATAAACCTAACCAAACCCATTACCATCAAGTAGATTTTGACTTATAGCAACTCTATAGGACAGAGTAGAGCTCCCCCATAGGGTTTTCAAGGCTATAAATCTTCTGAGTTTGTATGTAAAGCTTTTCTTCTTCTTTTTTTTTTAACAGTAGTGATCTCATACAATATTGCCCGTTTGTACTTGAGTAATTTCACTCAGCATGGTGTCCTCTAGGTTCATCCATGTTATGAGGTGTTTTGCAGATTAATTGGTTATTATTTAATGTTGCATAGTATTTCATTGTGTGTAGGTACCATAGTTTTATTTATCTATTAAGGTTATTATGGGAAGCAAACTGCCACATATTTCTCTCACAGAGCAGCTGGTGAGTTTGAACCTGTTGTTGTTGTTATATGCCGTCAAGCGACCCCTCCTTGGGTTTCCGAGGCAGTATCACTACAGAAGTAGATTGCCCCATCTTCCTTCCAAGGAGTGGTTGGTGGGTTTGAACCTCCAGCCTTCTGGTTAGCAGTCAAGTGCCTTAGGCACTACGCTACCAGAGCTCCCATTTGAGCCTAGAACCTTTCAGTTTGCAGCTAAGTGCTTTAACCACTGCACCACCAGGTCTCCTGAAATGTTTATACCTTCAGAGAATTTAATGTGAGGGTCATATTGGCAGTAGAAAAGCTGACTGAATACAAAGTAGTAGTTGTTGTTATGTGCCGTCGAGTTGGACCCAACTCATAGCAGCTCCTCCTTGGGTTTCTGAGGGTTTCCGAGGCGGTATCACTATGGAAGTAGATTGCCCAACCTTCCTTCCGGAATACAAAGTAGGCAAGATGCAAAGTCAAGGCACCATGGATTTTTGAAGGCTCTAGCTTTGCAGTTTACTCCAGTTTTTGGTAAACAGATAATGTAGGCAGAATCCATCCTATTTTTGGTTAATATATGGTTACAGCACTTCAGTTTTAAGAAGAGCTTTGAGAGTGGGCATCTAATGGATAAGGTGTGTTTTAATTAGTATGGTAGTTTCTTTAAGAACTGAATTTCAGAGAAGCAAAAATCATAATCCTAAGGATTTTGTTTGCATCTGTTCTTACAGTTCCTTAAAATATTTACCTTTTTGCCTTCTGTTGCTCTTTTGCTTTTATCACAACCTGACAGAGTTTTTTCTAATGTGAAATTTGGATGTTTTTTAAAGTAAGAAATTCACTTAAACAAAACAGTCTCTTGCAGCCTGTGAGAACTTTCTTATCTTTGAAATGCAATTAGAAAGATAACCTCTGTGACTCTCCTGGGAAAATCCTTTTATTCTCCAGTGTTCTAGAAAGTTCTTTTATAAGGATAAAATGCCATTTCTTAACTTTGATTCCATTAGGGTATAAGCATTAATGACACAAAGGAAGAGTCAACAGTATACTTCTCCCAGGATGAACTGTGGAAAAACTATGAGATAATAAATACTAAATGATTATTTTCATTCCTTTGTTTCCATTTTTCTTTACAAGATATGTGTAACGCACCGTCTTACTGTGACCTAGGAAAGGCTGCCAAGGATGTCTTCAACAAAGGATATGGTAAGTATAGTATTGTAAATTTCCAACTTTGGGGGATTAGTGATTTAAGGAGATAAGTGTTAACAGGTTATTAGACTTAATTTTTTAAGAGGTAGAGAGTCCTTTGTTGTTGTTATTTGCTCTTGAGTCTATTTAACTCATAGCAACCCGATGTGACAGAGTAGCAGATCACTAGGTCTTTCTTCTGTAGAGTGGTTGAGTGGATTTGAACTGTGAGCCTTTAGGTTAGCAGCTGAATGCTTAACCGTTGTGCTCCCAGGTCTCCTTTAGAGTCCCTTACAAGCATTAAAAGGAAATTATATATATGTATGTATGTATGTATATAAGGAGCTCTGGTGGTATAGTGCCTAAGGCATTTGACTGCTAACCAGAAAGCTGGCAGTTCAAACCCACCAGCCACTCCTCAGAAGGAAGGTTGGGCAATCTACTTCCATAGTGATACCTCCTTGGAAACCCAAGGAGGGGTTGCTATGAGTCGGGTCTGACTCGACAGCACATAAGAACAATAGCAGCGTGTGTGTGTGTGTGTGTGTGTGTGGCCCTGTTTTCTTTCCACAGAGCAGCTGGTGGGTTTGAACCACAACTCTCCTGGTTAGCAGTCAAAATGCCGTAGGCACCACACTAGTGGAGTAGTGTGTGTGTGTGTGTGTGTGTGTGTGTGTGTACATATATATATATATATGTATAATATACGCGCACGCATATATACACACACACATACATATTTATGTTACCTATAATATAAATCTATAATATTTATGCCTTTTCTGGCTAGTGCTAGGAACAGTTAAAGTAGGGGGTACTTTTTTTCCCTTCCAAATAATGGCAGTGTTTTTATGAGAGTAAAGATACCACTTTGATGTTTTTGGAGTAGCATATGTTCATTGATCCAAAATACATGTTTATTTTTAGTTTTTTAAAATTTAATCTTAAAAGTGTTCATTTTTATGATGAACGCATTTGATTTCTTATTAACCAGTAATATTAATTATATATTTTAAGCTTATATATCTGTATCAGCATAATACCTTCTAGTAATGTTGGTTCTTGGAATAGTACATATTCCTTTCATTCTTTTTTTTTTTTTCATTCATTTGTTTTTACCTTATTTCTTTATTCATTTTGGATTGCTTAGAAACAATTCTTATTTGGTTATAATTCAGTTTTACACAGAACTCTTAGTAATGAAAATGCTGTGTATTTTTTATATGGAAAATACTGTGGACTATTAATTTCTGAGTTGCAAAAATTGGATGTCACATTTTGTACATTATGGTGTTTTTGTTTGTGTGTCTAGGGTTTGGCATGGTCAAAATTGACCTGAAAACCAAGTCTTGTAGTGGAGTGGTGAGTACCTAATATATTTTTAAGATACATGTAACATAATTAAAGAAACCTGTTTAAAAACCATTATTCATGATAGTTATGTGAAACCATATACTTTTGGTGCTATACAGTCTTCCTTACAGATTTGTCACACTCTCATATTTCAGTGAGCATGCTTATTCAGTCAGTTAAACCCATAGATAATCAGGTATTGTCTTGGGACCTTAGATGTGTGTTTTTAGAGTATTCTGAGTCTTACTCTCAGAAGATACAGAGTTTATATTTTTTGACCTATGTCATATCTTTATACTTTCATGAATGTGCACTCGAAACTTTACTTCCATTATGATGAGTCCATGCAAGATTTTTTATATCATTTATTTTACTTTGTTGTTGAGAATACACAGCAAAACATACACCAATTAGCAGTTTCTGCATGTGTAGTTTTGTGACATTGATTATATTCTTTGAGCTGTGCAACCATTCTCACCCTTTTTTTTCTAAGTTGTTCTTCTGCCATTAACATAAACGCACTACCCCCTAAGGTTCCTATTTGATTTTGCAAGCTGCTATTGTCAGTTTGATCGCATATAAAACACCCTGCCATTGAGTTGATTCCAACTCATAGCGACTATATAGGGCATGGTAGAACTGCTGTAAATTTTTACAGAAGTAGACTGCCTCATTTTTCGCCTGTGGAGTGGCTGATGGGTTTGAACTGCTGACTTTTTGGTTAGTAGCTAAATGCCTTAACCACTATACCATCAGAGCTCTTTATCCCATACAGATATAGGTCTTAACATAGATAGAACTGCAGATCCCATATAGATATAGACCTTAAAAGAGCATAATACCCAAGGCAGACATTTTTTCTAGTTATGTTAAACTATTGTTTGGTCTTAAGATGACTTCAGGGGATATTATTGTTTTAAGATTTAAAAATTATCTTAGGGCAGTAGTTTTGGAGGTCCGTGCAAGTTTTAATTGCCTTTTATAAAAACAAATTAATTTTAATCTCTGTCCCTTCATGATATAATTGAAGCATATATTAAAAGTAAAATGCATGTAAATTATTCTACAATTTTACTGATGTTCATAAAGTCCTTTTTTAGTGGAAGTTAACATAGTAAAGGATATGTTGACATATTTTCAAAGGGTCATCAACCAGAGCTTTTATTCACAATCTCAGCAAATAGTTTAGCTTTACATTCACCTCACTCTCTAATTTCTTCTCATTGGCTGCATCCTTTTTAGCATTTACTTATTCAGATCAGTGCAAATGTCATTTCTGGATAGCTATTTAATTAGAATGTCAAGAGGCATATGGAATTCTTATGAAACTTTGTATACTCCTGGTTTAACATTATCATTCATTCCCTAGGTTTCTTGAAACCAAACCAGACCCACTCCATTGAGTTGATTCTGACTCATAGCAGTCCTAGAGGACAAGGTAGAACTGCCTCATAAGGTTTCCAAGGCTTAAATCTTTAAGGAAGCAGACTGCCTCATCTTTCTCCTTTGAAGCAGCTGATGGGTTTGAACTATTGTAGCCCAGTGTTTTTAACCACAGCACCACCAGAGCTCCTTTGGATTTCTCTAGTGGATAAAATATATGCACAGGTGGGATCCTCAGAAGTACCCTGGTTGTGCATAGGTTAAAGTGCTTGGCTGCTGACTGAAAGGTTGGAGTTCCTAACCCACCAGATGCTCCATGGGAGAAAGATATGGCAGTCTGCTTTCATAAAGATGTACAGCCTTGGAAAACCTTGTGGGCCAGTTCTACTCTGTCCTATAGGGTTGCAATGAGTCAGAATCTACTTGGTGGCACTGGAATGGGGATCTCTGTTAGGATGGGAGCATTGTAGATATGGTTCTGTTAAAATAGAAAAATACTCATTTTGAATAGAGTTTCAGAATTTGTTCAAGTTAGATTCATGTTGCAAAAGTCATCAATTAAAATTTTATCTCCCTTTCATGCTGCTGTGATTTGGGAATATTCGTTCAGATGGTAAGGAAAAAAAGCATGAGTGTGTGTTTGCTTTTATGGGTGCTTTTGGTCTCTGGCATCAATTTAAGATAGATTTTACCCATTGCTTCAAATTTCTTAAATTGTATCTTGATGATTTTATTATATGGTTCTTATTTAACAGTAATATCTTTGCAGTTGTTTTGTTGCTTACTAGCATTTAATGTAGAGCTACAGATGTTACATGCATGTTATAAATGTATTTTGCACGTGGTTGACCTAATTATGAAATAAGACAAAAACTGAAGCAGTTGGGAGCCTGGAATTAGAAACATTCTGGCCTTCTCTTTGATGTTTAGGTTTTTGACTAAACTTCAAACTAAGAAATGAAAGTGATTACTAAGGAAAAAATGTGGACTAAATACCGTTACCTTAACTTTGTGCATAAAATTTTCCTTACACCAAAATTAAAGTTTATATTTGCTATAGTTGTCAAGTTTGTTAAGGTAAATGTTAACAAAAAAGTCTGGGTAGTTGAATTTATTAAAAGAAAATGATTGTTACATTAAAAGAATTGTGTGACCTGTTAAACATGACTGATGTTTTTATCAGTTTTGCTAAGGCCTTGCCCTAAATGTGCCACATGATTCTGTTTTAAAGCTTTCTATCTAGTGTTGATAAACAGATCATAGTTTCCTACTTGTTTCATCAGCCTGTAGAACTAGAGTTAGAGAGTAGGGCATTTGTTAAGAGAGGATTCATATTGCAGGCAGTAAAACAGAACTGGTAAGGGTTGGCAGTATTTCCTTACTGTTGGCAGTATTTCAGAAATGTTCCTTAAAAACAGGGCCAGTCAGAATGTTTTTTTTTATTCTTGACAGTTCATAGATGGCTAATGGCAGATGTTGACCTTCTGCTTCCCCCTAGAAGGAGATCTATTTCTAATTGCTGGTTGTCATATGACTGAAAGGACACTTAACTAGGAAGGAGGATATAATTTAAGGCATTTACAGTAAATGATAGAGAGCACCTTGACAGGTAGACTGGGGAAGATTGAGAAAAGAGAGATAAATTATAATATACCATTTTGCTGTGAAAAATGGGCAGATGCTCTCAAATATTGAAATTATTTATGCTGAAAATTTTACAAATAGCCTTATGGACAAAAGCAATAAAATTTTGACCCTACTAAAGCAAGGGCTGTTGTTGTTATGTGCCATCGAGTCGGCCCCGACTCATAGCGACCCCTCCTTGGGTTTCCGAGGCAGTATCACTACGGAAGTAGATTGCCCAAACTTCCTTCCGAGGAGTGGCTGGTGGGTTTGAACCGCCAGCCTTCTGGTGAGAGGAAGGCTGGCGGTTCAAACCCACCAGCCACTCCTCGGAAGGAAGGTTGGGCAATCTACTTCCGTAGTGATACTGCCTCGGAAACCCAAGGAGGGGTCGCTATGAGTCGGGGCCGACTCGACGGCAGACAACAACAACAACAACAAAGCAAGGGCGGGAAGGTGCTTCTAGTATTTAGAGATATTTTAAGGACGTAAATTAACTAATAGTTTGAAAGGTTTGATAGTAATCATTTTCAGATCATGAAAGTAATTGTTTAAGTTTCAATACTTTTGTCTTTTTATTAAAGGCACTTATTTTTAGTAAAGTTACTTCTCTTTTAAGTAGAGAATTTAAGTTCCAATTGGCTAAAAGAGTATAAGGAACACGAACTATCAATAAGAAAGGTGGAAAAAGGAAAGCTCTGAAACTGGTAGACTAGTTACAGGTCTTTTCTTTCCATTTTGATTGTAAAGAAAGGAAGAAATAAGTTGCCATGCTAAAGAGTAAACTATATTGGTTTCTGATGTATTCAGCACTACTTTCTGAAATGAATTATTATTTTTTTTTAATTTGCTGAGCTAATTTTAAAGTAATTATTATTTTTTTTTTGCTCACCAGGAATTTTCTACATCTGGTCATGCTTACACTGATACAGGGAAAGCGTCAGGCAACCTAGAGACCAAATATAAGGTCTGTAACTATGGACTTACCTTTACCCAAAAATGGAACACAGACAATACTCTTGGGACAGAAATCTCTTTGGAGAATAAGGTAAGAGGAAGCATTCGAAGTTATTTGTAAATTAAATACAAATTACAGATTCCATGAAGAACAAACTCCAAGTATAATCTGGATGAGATATTAACTTCATATGTGCATGTGGTCTTACTTGGTATGTCTTCTTGTTTCGAAGAAGTAAGGCTTTATTTGTGAGTAAGGTAATTACTGGGACCATCAGAAGGCAAGTATTTGCGTGCGTGGAGCTGCCCCTGGGCGCAGACTGTGGTAAGCCAGCCCCAGGATCAGTGGAAGGCAGGTGTTTGCATGCGTGGAGCCTTCCTCGGGCGGAAGCTGCGGTAAGCCAGCCCTGGGACTGGCAGAAGGCAGGTGTTTGCATGCGTGGAGCTGCCCTGCGCCCATATGTGGTAAGCCAGCCACAGCCATGGGACCAGTGGACAGCTGGTGTTTGCCCCGGGGGTAGGCTGGGTAAGCAAGCAGGGTTGGGGACACCAGGAAATGAGCAGAGCAATGTAGAACAGCTTAGGGGAAACAAACTTGTCTGTCAGTTTGTCCTGCTGTGGTTTCTTGAGTGTTGCTGTGAGACTGGAGCCTATGCCAACAGTGTTTCAAATGCCAGCAGGGTTACCCACGGTAGAGAGGTTTCAGCGGAGCCTCTAGACTAAGACTTAGAAGAAGGAAGAGGCCATCCACTTCTCAAAGAATTGGCCAGTGAAAACCTTATGAATAGCAGTGAAACATTGTGTAATATAGTGCTGGAGAATGAGCCACTCAGGTCTGAAAGTATTCAAAATATGACTGGAGAAGAGCTGCTTCCTCAGAGTAGAGCCAACCTTAATGATGTGAATAGAGTAAAGCTTTCGGGACCCCCATTTACTGATGTGGCACGTCTCAAGATGAGAAGAAATAGCTGCAAACATCCATTAATAATCAAAATATGGAATGTAAGAAGTATGAATCTAGGAAGATTAGAAGTTGTCAAAAATGAAATGGGACGCATAAAGATTGATATCCTAGGCGTTGGTGAGCTGAAATGGTCTGGTTCTGGCCATTTTGAATCAGACAATCATATGCTGTACTATGCCGAGAATGACAAATTGAAGAAGAATGGTGTGTTGTTCATTATCACAAAGAGTGTATCAAGATCGATCCTGAAGTACAGTGCTGTCATAGGATAATATTTATTCCATACTCCTACGAGGAAGACCATTTAATACTACTATTACTCAAATTTACGTACCAACCACTAAAGCCAAAGATGGGGAAATTGAAGATTTTTACCAACTTCTGTAATCTGAAATTAACCAAACATGCAGTTAGGATGTGTTGATTATCACTGGTGACTGGAATGCAAAAGTTGGAAACAAAGAAGAATCACCCGGTAGTTGGAAAATAATGGCCTTGGTGATACGAATGTTGCTGGAGATCGCATGGTAGAATTTTGCAAGACCAACGACTTATTCACTGCAGATACCTTTTTTTAACAACACAAATGGTGGCTATACACATGGACTTCACCAGATGGAGTACACAGGAATCAGATTGACTACATCTGTGGCAAAAGGTGATGGAGAAGTTCAGTATCTTCAGCCAAAACCAGGCCAGAGCTGATTGTGGAACAGACCATCAACAGCTCATGTGCAAGTTCAAGTTGAAGCTGAAGATGATTAAAAGAAGTCCATGAGACCAATTTACCTCAAGTAGATACACTCTTTGGAGAGAACAATCATGGGAGAAAGAAGGGCTGCTTATGCACAGGGAGACAGCTCGGGGCAGGAGTGTATGGAGGGATGGACACTGGGAAGAGGTAACTATGGGAAGGAAGTGAGAAGGGAGCTGTTGCATTGTGGTAAATTGTGGTCAATGACATGAGACAAAATATATGTGAACTGCTGTATGGAAAGTGAATTTGCTCTGTAAATCTTCACCCAAATCACAATTTAAAAATAAGTCCATGAGAGCCAAATTATGACCTTGATTATATCCCTCCTGAATTTAAAGACCATCTAAAAAATAGATTTGATGCATTGAGCACCAATAACTGAAAACCAGAGAATTGTGGGATGATATCAAGAACATCATCTGTGAAGAAAGCAAATGATCATTAAAAAGACAGGAAAGGAAGACAAGACCAAAATGGGTGTCAGAAGAGACTCTGAAACTTGCCCTGGAACGGAGAGTACCTAAGTGGATGGAAGAATCGTCAGGATAAAAGAGCTGAACAGAACATTTCAAAGAGCAGCTCAAGAAGACAAAGTCAGTTATTATAATGAAATGTGCAAAGACCTGGAGTTAGAAAACCAAAAGGGAAGAACACGCTCACATTCCTCAAGCTGAAAGAACTGAAGAAAAAATTTAAGCCTCGAATTGCGATATTGAAAGATTCCATAGGCAATATGTTGAATGATGCAGGAAACATCAGAAGAAGATGGATGGAATACACAGAATCACTGTACCAAAAAGAATTGGTAGATGATCATCCATTCCAGGAGGTGGCATATGATCAAGAACCAATGGTATTCAAGGAAGAAGTCGAAGCTGCACTGAAGGAATTGGCGAAAAACAAGGCTCTGTGATTGACAGAAAGTGAGAATGACTTGGAGCACTTACTGATGAAGATTAAAGACAACAGTCTGCAGTATGGATTATACCTCAGTAAAAAGAAAACTAAAATCCTCACAACTGGACCAACAAGCTGCATCACGATAGATGGAGAAAAGATTGAAGTGGTCAAAGACTTCATATTGCTTGGTTCTACAGTCAACGCCAATGGAAGCAGCAGTCAAGACATCAAAAGATGTCTTGTATCGGGCAAATCTGTTGCAAAAGACCTCTTTCAGGTGCTGAAGAGCAAAGATACCTCCTTGAAGACTAAGATACGCCTAACCCAAGCCATGGTATTTTCACCTCATATGCATGTGAGAGCTGGACAACAAATAAGGAAGACTGAAGAAGAGTTGTTGCTTTTGAGTTCTGGTGTTGGTGAAGAATGCTGAAAGTCCTGCGGACTGCTAAAAGAATGAAAAAATCTTCTGGAAGAAGTGCAGCTGGAATGCTTCTTGGAAGTGAGAATGGCTAGACTTCATCTCATCTATTTTGGTCATGTTGTCAGAAGGGACCATTCTCTGGAGAAAGATGTCAAGCTTAGTAAAGTGGAGGGTCAATGAAAATAGGGAAGTCCCTCAACAAGGTGGATTGACACAGTGGCTGCTGTGATGGGCTCAGGTATAGTAGGGATTGTGAGGCTGGCACAAGACCAGGTAGTGTTTCATTCTATTGTACATAAGGTCACTGTGAGCTGGAGGTGACTCACATGCGTAACAACAACAATGGTCATTATCATGTTGTGTCTTTGTTCTGACAGTTCTAGTTATTTAATACAGCTGAGCCTCTCCTGGGTAGACCAGGCTGTTTGCGTTGATTTTGTTTTGCTTTGTTATTGTTGCAAAATTGGCCTCACAGAAAATGTTTCTAAAATTTTTTATGTTTACCAAAACAGTCTGTCAGTAGATATTTGCCAAGTGCCTGCTGTGTACAGGATACTGTTTTTTGAGCTATGTCTATATGCACATTCCTGTGTATAGATACAGTCTCTGTATATAGGTTGGCTTGTTAGGTGTCAGTTTATCTCATCATAATTTCAAGAGAGTAACAAGATTATTTTGTTGATTTGGAATTTTGTTGTTTTTGTTCTGTAATTTATGTTCTTTTTCGTAATAGGATTTGATTTGTCTCTTGATGGGAGAATAATGCAAGTGGAGGGCTGTGGAGAGGGTAGGATGGAATGGTGATTTAATATTTAATGTAGTATCTAATTAATACTTTCTTTTACAACTCTTTTTGTTAGGAAATTAGAGGAAACATTAGAATTGGTTTCTTGAGTTGAAGAAAGAGTTGAAAATTACTAATTTGTTAATTTTAAATCTTGTTTTTTTCAGTTGGCTGAAGGGTTGAAACTGACTCTTGACACCATATTTGTACCAAACACAGGGTAATTATCCAAATCTTATTTTCTGAAATGTTTTTGTAGCTTAAAGGGACAGAGAGCTTTCAAATAGGGAGTTGTAGTTAAAAGCTTAGAGGCAGGAAGAGCTTAAGAGGTTGCTGTTAGGAACACCAGAGGCCTGGTGTATATAATGAAGACAAAGACTCACTTGAGGCAGATGAAATTTGGATTTGAAAATTGAAAAGATGAACAAAAACTTACAAATCTTTTTCAAAGAGGTGCAGAGTAGAAAGAGCTTAAGAGCTAGAAGGGTCTGAGACCATAGATTTTTCTTAAATTGTATTCTAAAGATTCATGAGTGTGGTATTCTGCTGAGAAGTTAATTTCTCAAGAAAAGAGTGTAATCTTCTTGCTGTAAAACACTATGCTAGTAATTCTACTAGTTTGTGTTCTTAGACTCTCTTAATCTCGACTTCTCTGCTTCAGTTTCTTCATTTGTAAAATGGTCATGGTTTTGCTTTCTATCTGCCTTAGAGGGGCAGATGTTATCTATAGGAAAAAGCTACTAGGAAAATTCAGAGTGTCAGTCTTAACAGCAGGTGTGTCTTTCCTGCTGCATACTTTAGTTATCTTCAGGATAAATACTATCATAAGAGGCCTCTTTCGAATAGGATATGGACAGTGAAAAACTAGTGTTTTCAGTATTGTCCTTCAAAAAAGTATACTTCTCTCCATAATAGGTTAATAATTCAGAAGTGTTTTGGGTGTTGCCTTTTGTGGCATTTGGGCATTTAGAGACATTTAAAGAGATCTGATTTCTCATGTCTGCATATGCAAATCTTCAGATTATTAATGGGCCACTGAGATACCTTATTCTTTGTACATTTATTCATGCCTTGATGAAATTTGTGATGAAGTATCCTATTTGAATTGGAATAGACAGACTAGTGTATACATTTGTGATTCTAGCAAAAGTGTATTTGTTGAGCTAAGTTATTTGAAATATTTTTACTCTGTTTATGCAGTCTACCTAAATAATCTTTAAATTGGGGGAGAGGGAGTCTTAATACAAAGATTGCTGGGCAGTAGTAGAAACTCATGTTGTTTTCATTTTGTTGTTTTTTACAGAAAGAAGAGTGGAAAGTTGAAGGCCTCCTATAAACGGGATTGTTTCAGTCTTGGCAGTAATGTTGATATAGATTTTTCTGGACCAACCATCTATGGCTGGGCTGTGTTGGCCTTTGAAGGTTGGCTTGCTGGCTATCAGATGAGTTTTGACACAGCCAAATCCAAACTGTCACAGAATAATTTCGCCTTGGGTTATAAGGCTGCAGACTTCCAGCTGCACACTCACGTGTGAGTGTTTATGATTTGTTCCTTCATTGGTGCTAGTGCAGTCTCCCAAAAGAGGATAGCCATTAGTATGTAGAGGAGGTTAGAAGTAATGGTGCTTGGATTTAATATACCTTGGTGGACACTCAGCCTCATTGCACTGTTTTCATAGTCAGCAAAACAGTGGTTAGGTGCACTTACTGCGTAGTGCTGTGCTGCTAGTAGTTATTGGCTTCTCAGCTTTTACCCTAGACTTCAGGGAAGCCCTCCAGTCTGTAGGATCATGAGGATGGCAAGTACTCAGGGTGTGGGTTACCTCCTGCTACAAGTGATCCTTTGGACATATTCCTGCATCCTGTGGTGCCCTCCTCATCTTGGCAGTGTCTGGAAGCAGATATGTTTGGATAACCAAGAATAGCCACGGAATTGATCTGAGCATCCTGGAACACCCCTAGTAATTCTCTGGAAGGTTTCAGGTACCTTTTGTCAGAACCCAGTTCGTCCTAGTGCATTCATAAATCACATGAGTTCTCAAAGCATTCCTGGGGTTCAGTTATGTAGGCTACACTTTGTTGGCTGCATGAATTTGAATTTTTAAACTGAATTTTATATCATGACCTACTGGCTACTGCTGCTGTACCAGGAAGCAAAAGCAAAGAGTGAGCTGCATGTTTTTGAAGTTCTACAGACAGCTTTGTTTTAGACATTCTGCTTTAGTAGTATAGACGGAGGCATTGATGTTGACAAAGCAATGTTGTAAGTAAAACTGTAAAACCTCATAAGATTAAGTTCTGTGATGCTTTGAAGCAATAAGGAGCTCTAGTGGCACTGCGGTTAAGGCATTGGGTTGCTAACCAAAAGGTCTGCAGTTTGAATCCACCAGCCACTCTGTGGGAGAAAAATGAGGCAGTCTGCTTCTGTAAAGATTGATAGCTTTGGAAACCCTGTGGGGTCACTCTGAGTCAGAATTGACTCCATGGCAATGGCTGGTTTTGGTTTGAAGCAATGCTTTGCGTACTTCAGAACAGTGCAGTGTAGGTGCTTTCTAATTCTGGAATTGTGTTATAAATGAAATCCAGGATTGGCATTACTCCTGTACTTGTACCTCTCTGGTTCCCCACCCCTGCCCCAAGTCTTTATTAAACTCTACTTTGAAGTTTCTAAATCTGAAAATCTCAGATGTATAGGTCCTGTTTGTCTGAGTTGTCTGCCCTTATGCTTAGTTGAATTGTATCTAAGAGATTTACATCATGTGGAAGACCCAAGTAGATGAGTCACTTCTTACTACATTTGAATTAGGCAGTTATAAAAAACAAATAGATTGAGCTGTCTTGTTTAGTAGTCATTTATGCTTGAACTTTGTAGTTGCAAAATGGGATCCTTGTTTAGATAGTCTTAGAATTTGTTTCCAGTCGTTGTTGTTATGTGCTGTCGAGTCAGCCCCGACTCATAGCGACCCCTCCTTGGGTTGCCAAGCCGTATCACTGTGGAAGTAGATTGCCCAACCTTCCTTCCTAGGAGTGGCTGGTGAGTTTGAACCGCCAGCCTTCTGGTTAGCAGTCAAGTGCCTTAAGCACTATGCTACCAGAGCTCCTAAGAATCGTATAAACTAGATATTTATAACTTTTTCCTATTTATTGAAACCAGGAATGATGGCACTGAATTTGGAGGTTCTATCTACCAGAAAGTAAATGAGAAGATTGAAACGTCAATAAACCTTGCTTGGACAGCTGGCAGTAACAACACGCGTTTTGGCATTGCTGCTAAATACAAGCTGGACTGTAGAACTTCTCTCTCTGTAAGAATGTGCTCCCAGCATGGATCTGGTCTTAGGTTTTCATCTCAGTTATAAATGGATGATACGGCTATAGTTCACATATTCTTTATTAACTTCAATGAGCTAGCTCATTGTGTAATGAAAGAGTATTACACTTAAAGTCAGGAAATGCATGTTTTAGTTCTAACTTCCAGTATTTGGTTGTTGTCTGACCTTTTCAAGTCATTTTATCTCTTTGGCCTCAAAATTTTCTTATCTGTAAATTCATGGGATTTGATTACTATTCCTGTTACTATGAGTTCTTATTAATAATAACACTAGTTGAGCTCTTAAATTTCAGGTACTGTGCTAGGGGCTTTACGTGTAGTATCTAATTTATTGCTCACAACTACTCTTAGGTTTAGCAGATGAGGGAACTGAGGCTTAGAAAGGTCAGGTATCTTATCCAAGGTCACACATTAAGTGACATGTCATAGATTTGAATTCAGATCTGTTTGTTACCAGTTTGTGTTCTTACCACTGTTGGTTACAAACTGGCATCTCAAAGAACTCAGTACATAGGGCTGTTTGGCTGCACAGTGTTATGAAATTTGTTTGAGGCCTTTAGGCATACATTCTCAAGGTCCCTACCAGCCCTACCATTCCTAATTGATTTCTTAAAGATTGATTCTTTTATTAATTAAAGTTTGGTTTCATTAATTACAGATTGGCCCTGAGCTGCTTTAACTTTGGAAACCTGATGCATGAAGTGATGGTTGTGTTAGACTTATCTGTTATGAATTGTGAAATTGATTGTGCTCTAATAGTTTCTATTCCACCTCCTAATCTTAGGCTAAAGTAAATAATGCCAGCCTGATTGGACTTGGTTATACTCAGACTCTTCGACCAGGTAAGTAAAGGAATTAATAACAGTGGGATTGGGATAAAAGGAGATACAGAAATAATGAGAATAATCTTCACTGTAGGTCAGTTCAGACCATTTTGTAACATTTGGTTGTTCAGAAAGAAAGTAAAACAGATCAAATATATTTTGACTATATTTGTGGTCACTCTGGCTTATGAGTTTGGTTAATCATTCATTATTCTTGATTCTGAACTCCAAAGAAAATTTAACATGATCATGCGTTATTCACTGCAGATCAGATAATTATAGATAATCCTAGGTAGATTGAAGGAGCCCTAGTGGTGCAATAGTTAAGCTCTTGGTTGCTCACCAAAAGATTGGCAATTTGAGCCCAGCAGCACCTCCACAGAGAAAAGACCTGGTGATCTGCTCCAGTAAAGGAGGTAGTTATGGTGATGGTTTGGTGCTGTAGAGGCAGTTCCAACTCATAGTGATCCTGTGTACAGCAGAATGAAACACTGCCCGTCCTGCGCTGTGGTCACAGTTGTTGCTGTGTTTGAGCCCATTATTGTAGCCACTGTGTCAGTCCTATCTCATTGAAAGTCTTCCCCTTTTCACTGATCCTCTGCTTTACCAAGCATGACATCCATGTCCAGGGACTGATCTCCTGATAATATGACCAAAGTATGTGAGACAGAGTCCTGCCATCCTCCTTTCTAAGGAGCATTCTGACTGCACTTCTTCCAGAGGTTTTTTCATTCTTCTGGCAGCTGCAGCTGATGGTGTATATTCAGTATTATTTGTCAATACCATAATTCAATCATTGAATTGAATTACGGCATTCACTTCTTTGGTCTTCCTTATTCATTGTCCAGCTTTCACATGCAGATGAGGCAGTTGAAAATACATGGCTTGGATCAGGTCAGGTGCAGCTTGGTCTTCAAAGAGACATCTTTGCTCTTTAGCACTTTAAAGAGGTCTTTGGCAGCAGATTTATCCAGTGCAGTATGTCATTTGATTTCTTGACTGCTGCTTCTGTGGGCATTAATTGTGGGTCCAAATAAAATGATATCCTTGACAACTTCAGTCTCTTCTGTATTTGTCATGATATTGCACAGATTATAGCCTAGGAAACCCTATGGGACAGTTCTACTCCATTATATAGTGTTGCTATGAGTTGGAGTCAACTTGATGGCACACAACAACAATGTGTAGATTTAGGGCTCGTAACTCAGACCCAACAATAATCCATCCATTGACTCCATTCATTCCTAGAAAATTCAGATCTGATTGTAATATTTATTATAAGTCACTGTGATGTTTTCTTCTTTCTAGGAGTCAAACTGACCCTATCAGCTTTAATTGATGGAAAGAACTTCAGTGCAGGAGGTCACAAAGTTGGGCTGGGATTTGAACTAGAAGCTTAATGTGGTTCTGAGTGAAGCATCATATTTGACCTTGAAAGTGAAGAGAAATGAATCCACTATGTTCTGGCCTTAAAATTCCTCTGTGAAATTCAAAAGTGTGAACTTTTTATTCTTCCAAAGAATTGTACTCCTCCCCATACTGAAGCCTAGAGATTGCAAGGCCATCCTAAGGGAGGTCCTTGAAGGCATGCATGGAAGTTGTCATGTTTGTGCCACATTTCAGTTCCTCAGTGTTATTTTAAATGTGTTCCTCAGCGACAGTGTAGTGTCTTGTTAAAAAGGAAATGACCTGATCCTCCAGTTTGTACATCACGTCCTGCATGTCCCACACCACTTTTTCATGCCCTTTTAATATATTGGTCTCTGTGCTGTAGTGGAATTTCAGTTTTTGCATCAGAGTAAAATAAATCCATCACATTTGGAACATAATTGCTCATGTGACTTGCTAGTAGTGGTTTTCTTATATTTGATGTGTTTTAGTTTTTTTGAAAAAATACCTTAACGGTTGGTATTTGCAGGTAGAAATGGTGCATTTAAAGAGTTACTGTAATAGACTGTTGAATTTTCCTTATGCTGTTGCCCGTCCCTTTCACTTTTGTTTACGTCACTCATTTCTCATGTAGTCAGAGGGGTGAAACAGTAAGTTACTCTGCTGGGCAGAAGCACTTATGGTGCAGTACTTGCTGTATATTGTAGTATGATAGGATAGTATCGGTTGGTAGTTTTGTAGAAAGGCAAGCACATTTCTTGAGAAAGAGTGAGGGTGGGAGTGGGCAAAAAGAAGGCAAAAGAAAGTACGATTGGGGAAAATACTGTAGGGAAGAGAGGTCATGAGGCCAGCGCCAGAAGATGACACATCTGTGGCTCTTCCAGGGCCTCAGAAGAATTATTGGTTACTAGATTTAGAAAAATTATAACCAAAGAGTGGAAGTACCAATGTAGAAAAGAAATGAATAGACAATAGTATCTTCAGGGTTTATTGTTATATTTCTTTCTTAAAATAGAGCTTCTTACAAAAATATTTTTTTAGATACAGAAGTAACATATGCTCATGGCCACAAATTCATTTACTATAGAAATAAATTTAATAAAAGTGAAAATTCCCCATTCTTTTCTCCAATCCCTCTTTCTTCCACTATTACTAAACCAAAAAACCATACTAGTAGGTTGGTATATATCCTTGCAGATATTTTTCAGTGATTTTTAGAGATGATATGAGTAATCTTATTTTTGTATGTGTAAATTTTTTAAATGCACATCTTATTCTGCAGTATAAATTCAGATATAACATTACTAGAGTCCTCTTCCTGTGTTCCTAAAAGTCAGCCTCATATTTGTTATGTGCATACTTTAGTATAAATGTGATGTAATTTATTTAACTATTCCCCTTTTGCTGTCTTCAATTTTGTGCTGCATTGAATATCTTTGCTCATTTATGTTTGTCTACTCTGTGACTATTTCCTTTGCAGCATTGCTCAGTGGAACTTTCTGTCATGTTGGAAATGAGGTGCCTGTACACTCTCCACTGTGGTAGCCACTGGCTACACATGTCTGCTGAGCACTGGAAATGTGACTAGGGCACTGAAGAACTGAAGTTTTAATTGTATTTAACTTAAATAGTCACATATAGCTTGTGGCCACCACATTGGACAGTGCAGTTCTGTAGCATAGGCTTATAGAAGTAGGATTGCTGAGTCGTAGGTCATGTGCAGAAATTAGAACCAAAGAATGGAAGTACCAGTTTAGAAAAGAAAGGAAGAGACTATAATATCTTCAAGGCTTACCATTAAGTTAGCTCTTTCTTAAAATAGAACTTCTTATTAAGTTTCTTTTTTAAATACAGAAGTAATATATGCTGGGTTGCAACAAATTGAGTTAATACAGAAATAAATTTAATAAACGTGAAAATTCCCCATTCCTCTTTCCAATCCCACTTTCCTCCACTATTACTAATAGTTTAGTACATAGTACAAATTTTGCCCTTCAAAATTTTTGTACTTACATTTCTACCAGTGGTGTTTTAGAGTACCACTCCCCACACCTCAATAACACTGAATGAAATTTTTATCAGTTGTATAGATAGAAATTGGTACCTTGTTTTAATTTGCATTTCTCTGATTGACTGTTTCCATGTTTACTGATCATTTATAAGTCTTTGATTTGTCTATTCAGATTCCTTGTTAACTTTCCAAATGAGTTGTCTTAAAAACAGCTAGATGTATTTTCTCTGAAAAATTACAGTCTAAGGCATTTCCCCTTACTGCCACCAAAGACTGTCTTGGCTTCACAGCATCCTTTACCCCTATTTCAACCACCAGTTCTTATGTTGGTATTATCTATGATGCCAACCACATGATGAGAAATTCTGTTTTCCCTAATATTATCTTTGTAGGTAGGAACCACCATTACTAGGATTTTTTAAAAAAAAGGAAGGAAAAGAGAGTTGATACCTGGGTCCAGTTAATGCTGTATCTTACTAGAAGAACTTTATAAGCAGCATGAGTGTGGATGGGGTCCTGTAGTGTGGTTTTCAAACTGGTGCTACACACAAGAATTCTGTTAGCTAAGGAGGAAAAAATCATGCAAGAAGGTAGGTAACGGCTGTGTGCTGAGTGTTACTGTGGGGCAGTTCTGTTCAGTCTGGTGGTGGTCGGGGTAGGGGATAGAAATGGGGAAGGCGATAAAGGAAGCACTGATATGCTGCATCCCTAGTTTATTAGTTATTTGATGAGTTTGATTGTGTTTAAAGCTGAATTAGATGGGAAGGAGATTGCTATAGGTGTTTGCTTTTATTTAATTGATACTTCAGAACTAAAGAGCCAAAATTTATGTGTTGATAAAGTAGTCCAAGTATGAATGTAAGCAGTTTAAATTTACCCTTTATTTAATAACTTTATGGGTTCCCATGGCTGGGGCTTGCAGATATTGAAGCGTATTGGGCTCATGACTGACTGCCCTGGAGGGCTGACAGCTCAGTGGAATCAGATCACTTGAAAAGATTTCTGGCTTTGCACTGGAGACTGTCCACTCTTGCTACTTGTAAAATCAAGGACATCCCTGGGATTGAGGCAGTGTTACCCTTAATTATTTGCCACTGCTGTACCCACTATGAAAAGAAATGGTTGATCCTTAGGAAAAGTGACTTCAGGCCCCAGGGTGCCTTCCACCCTAAATTGATGGCTGGGGGATCCTGTGTGATGATCAGGAGTTCCTGTTCCTGACCTTCTGAATGCTCAGGAGGGCGGGCTGTGTGGAAGGGGGATGATTCACTTCAATTCCAATAGGGATTTTGACTGGAGCCCTTTTTCTCCTGACCTGCATAGGCAGCTGTGCCCTATTGCAGTGCTTTTCAAATGTCAACCCACTTAAGAATCAACTGGAGAGTGTTTAAAACCAATTGCTGGCCTCCACTGCCAGCCTATAAAATTGGTTCAGTAGGTCTGAGATGGAGTCAGAAAATTTGTGTTTTGAACAGATTCCAAACCATTGGTGATAACTGCTGGTTTGGGGGCCACATTTGGGAAACACTGACCTATAATGAAGTTGGTTGGCAAACTACAGCCTGTCGCCAAATCCAGCCTTTGTAAATAAAGTTTTATTGGAACACATGTTTGCTCATTTATTTATGTACTGTATATGGCTGCTTTTTTTGCTACAACAACAGAATTTTAAGCTGCAAAGCCAAAAATAGTTACTGTCTGGCCCTTTATGGAAAAAATGTGCTGACCTAGACCCAGAGTGAAAGGAAGTATAAGGCGTTAGACCCAAAACAGGGCAGAAGTGGTTGGCAGGATTGGAGTTGAGGCAGAAAAAAGAGGCCAGGGCTAATGCAAGAGAAGGTCTAGAAACCAGGTGTGAGGATCGGAATGAGGCTGTGGGTAGGGGTGGCTAAGAACCAGAGTTGGGAGTAGAGTTGAAGCAGAAGGTGAGAGCTCATCATGAGGCATTTAAGATGTTGCTTCCCACTTGGATAGACTCCCTGCTGTTTGAGGGAAGAACTGTCAAGGTCGACTGTGCTCTCAGTCCCCTCATCACTGAGGAAGTTGTACTGTAGTAGAAAACACTCTTTGAGCTTATGTGTCAGGCATTGTGCTGGCCATTTTATGTAAAATAGCCTATTTAATCCTCAAATAATTGCAAACATCTTAGAGTCAAGTATTCCAGAAAGGAAAGTCATGAGAGGTCCTAGATATAGGAGTTGGTTGTGGTTTCTCACGATGGCAATTTTCAACAGCTCTCTTCTCTCCCCCATAAAACACAGGCATGCATTGCTCTCCCTTGCTCCTAGCTTTCTCTTCTATTTCCTGTTCTCTACCTCACGTTCTCCCAATTTAGCTTTGTAACTCCTGGGGCAGTTCATTCCATTTGTTTATAACCTTGATTCACTTAGGACATTGCTAGAATCCTCAGTTTTTCCTTTTGAGACTTGCCCTCAAGGTAACCACAGCTTATATGTGATAGAGTTTTGCACCTGGGAGTTTTTTGTACTTAGTATAGTGCCTAAGGCACCTGACTGCTAACCAGAAGGCAGGCAGTTCAAACTCACCAGCCACTCCTCGGAAAGGAAGGTTGGTCAATAGACTTCCGTAGTGATACCGCCTTGGAAACCCAAGGAGGGGTCGCTATGAGTCGGGTCCTACTGGACGGCACATAACAACAACAACAACATATGCCAATACAGGAGAAAATGCACCAAGATATTCATTATCCAGAGATAATATTCATTATCTCTGGAGGGTGGAATTATAGGTAATTTATTTACTTATATTTTCCTGTGTTTTTCAAGTGTCTAAAGTGAAGTTCTTAATGTTTTTGTAATTTGTAATAAATCCATCTAATTAATATTCTTTGAAAAAGGCAGAGGGACCTTTCCTGCTACCGAGGCAGCAGCATGTATAATGGAAGCAGTGAGTTAGATCTCAGTAGATGAAGGGAGTCATCCTAGGAGGCAGGAGTCCTGAGGCATTTGCCAAGCCCAGAAATACCACTTGTTCCTACTTGCCATCCTTGGAAACGTTTCCCAAAATGAAGAGATTGAGAAACTAATAGGCATGAAGTTTTACTTCTTTAAGTTAAATTTTGCATGTCAGAGGTTAATGTTCACACATGATATTTTAAATATTAATCACTTCTGCAAGACACCAGGAAGGCCTTATGGTCCATGGCTAATCTGTCAGTCCCTTCTGAGAGAGTCTGATAACAGCAGCATTCTTTTGTAGCCAAG